TGAGATTTGGATTTGAGTTTCCATTCAACTTATTATTGGTGAATTCAAGTTTTCATTTGATTTGGTATTGCTGGAGCTGCCTTTCCAAATATTATTTTGAATTTTACTTGTGATTTAGTATTGCTGGAGCTTCCTGTTGAGATTTGGATTTAGACATACCTGGACATAGGTAGAGCGTTAGATAGATACATAGACAGTCAGACAGACATACTAGATTAATTTGATTGCTTTGATTCGGGTTGACTTGATTTGATTTGATTCGGTTGATGTGATTGATTAATCGGTTCGTTGGTTGACACATTCATTGACTGACCGACTGACTGACTGACTGACTGACTAACTGATTGAATAAATGAATGAAATAATGAATGAATGGTTCATTGTTTGATTGTTTGATTGATTGGTTGATTGATGTTTGTTTAGTTGTTTATTTATATTTATCTATTGTTGGGATCCGTCTTTTTTGATTGATTTGATTTGATTTGATTTGATTTGATTCGTTGCTTGATTGGTTGATTGATTGAATAATTGATTGATTGGTTGATTGATTGAGTGATTGATTGATTGATCGATCGATCAATTGATTTCTTTGTCGACTTGACTTTTGTTTGATGTTGATGCGATTTGGACACGCTGCTTGTCTCTCTTTAAGAACCGAGGGCATTGCGCCAGGGCTTGTGTGGCTGCATGGTTTGCGCTTGAAAGCTTCCCACCCAAGCTTGGCTGGCTGAATTGCGGAGAACCGCAATTCAGTTGCTGGTTTGGTGCAGATACTCCACTGGAAATGTAGCCGAGGCCGGGAAACCATGACCTCTACGTGGGCCGTAGTCCAAGGTCGCAGTTTCTGGCAAAAATCCTGTAAAGGGGGCCCACTTTTTCCTGCCCATCTCTTTGCTACGGTGGATGTCCCTGCCATTTTGCAAGCAAACCAACCAGAAACTGGTCGAATTTACAGGGAACCCCTTTGTTCCGTACTTGCCATATGGCAGGGGCATCCACAGTATCTCTCGGTGGTTGGGCCCTTGCCGACAACGTCTGATAGAGGCATTGTGGAGCAAGGGGGCATGACCTGAAAGGCTTGCAGCTCGTGTGCGTGTGGGCCACCGTTTTTACACAGATATGAACTCATGGAAATGTTGGGCACGGTTGATGACGGTATGCGTGGGTCCAAGATCGGCGGGCCCGTGTGGGGGGGATAATAGCGTGCCTGATCACTGAAGAACGTAGCAAGTTTTCTTTTGCAGCTACGGCCACTTCACAAGAACTGAACAGCGTGCTTTCTTGCGCAGTGTTGACTTCGTCGTGATCGCCAAAGTTCCAATGGGGGCATGGAACCAAGGCACCTGCTGCTGTCGGGCTGCTGCAAAGATACTGTTTGATAAATCATCAATAGGCTCATTTTCTTGCTGCGTCCAGGAAGGTTGAGACTAAGACACGCATGGATTTAGAACGTCCAAGCTGTACTACAGAATCTTGGGGAGATGCCATGGAAGATGTGGCACGGTGCCAGACAACAAGTTTGGATCCAAAGTGTTGGTTTTGGTCGGCAAAAACTCTTATATCATATATATATATATATATTATATGGGTGTGTCATTCTGCAGGCCCCCCCCGAAAAAGCAAAGAAACAAAGCCACACACACAAACAAAACACTTCATTTTCCTTGCTTGTTTCCTTTATCACCACCGACAAGGGGTACCCTATGGTACCCTGTGAAACCCCACCCATCTATGTATATACATATATATGTTCGTGTTTGGGTGGGCGTCTCTTGCATCATCTCGTCTCTTTTGGGTGGGTGAAACCCTTGGATATATTATTGTTTCTTCGGGCCTTCAACATCCACCAACAAGAGGTGTCCTTCTTTTTCACATGAGAAATCACTCAAGCAAGATGTTTGGAACGCAGGATAAACAAACCCGCTGGCCGATTTTGATTGGGGATGCCGAATAACTTCATTAGGGAACATGTCTTTTGTACGTACACCACAATCAACATCTTCATGGGCCGATGGCTGGTGTCACGTTTTACAGATGATTGTTCCCTTTCAGATTCAGCCGGTCAACATTAACCGGAACAACTTATCTGGGCCTCAAATGCGTACGCGTCAAAAAGAGCTGCATGGCAACCTTTGTTAATTGGACTGGACAACACATGTGGGCTTGCAACAAAATGGTGCTCATGTTGAAGATCCGCTTTCGGCAGCACAAAATGATGTTTTTGACAGCTACGTTTGGCAATTCCGATGTCCTCTCAGCTGAACTCCTGGTTGACTCTGGATTCATGAATCTGGGTGAATTATAACGACCTCACACGACCGAATTCACCCAAAATGGTGGTTTATGTGCGGAATATTCCCCCAACCACCTTATTTCAGGTTGGTGAAATATTGTAATTCACCCAGATGAATGTATCTTAGCGCGTTGTTTTCGCAATTCACCCTGGCATGAGGAAGCAACAGCAGCTTCGACTCTCTGCAGAAGCAAGAAAGGCTGCCCGGCTGTCATTGTGTGGGTGTGTCCTGTTTTGAGGGTAATCTTGGGATGTTTCAAAAGGCAAACTATTGCATCCCTTTCACTTTGGGGGCTGAGTTTGTTTGTGGGATATAGAACCTGCGAAATTCCAATTGTCCTTTGCGTTCCCTTTGAAACAACCCAAAAAAGGGTACCAATGGAAAGCACAATGCCATTTATATAGATGTTGCACATATGGCCGTTTGTTGTTCCGATATGCACAGTAAAACACTGCCTAGAGTACAGCTCCCAGAGGTTGTTGGGAAGGAGTCTGCTTCATTCTATCTCAAATTCAGATGGTTGCTGGTTGTGTGTATTGCGTACCAAGGTATGTCTGGAAGGCCCTTCTGGTTCAGGTTTGGCTTCTTCATGCCCGATGAATCCAGCAATCTTCTTTTTTTACAGCTTGCTGCGTGCAAAACAATATTCGTTCGAAAGATCGGAAGCAAGGCCCATGAGAGCCGGCAAAAACAAGGTCCGGAAAGTCGTCCCCTCCGATGCTGAGCAGCATAGACGGGATCTCATTCAAAAAGCTGGCATTCATCCGCTTCTTGATGACATGCCCAACTTCCGGTGCCAATGTTTTCACAGCTTCATATTGATATCCTATGTGACGAGGAGGCGGTTTGCTCTTGGGTTAGATGTTGGAAGAGTACTTTCCTTTTGCAGCCCCCTGTCCGCTTCCGAGCGAGGGTATCCTGTGCAAACTTCCTGCTTGGAATCCTCGGATTCCATGGGTTTCTCCGTGTCTCGTCCGGAGGTCCCATGGAATTGCCGGACCCTGAAGGTTCTTTGATCCCATGGGAAGGCTGACGTACCGAACAAACGTGCCCAAACGTGCAGGAACATTCGTGGCACATCTTATACCCATTGTAGGTTGACGTCCTTTGTGTCTCTCAATTTTCGGGTTTCGCCCTGGCAGCGGCGGGTTTTCTCGCGGTGCTCCCGCTCCCTAGGCTTCTGCAGGAAAGCGCTCGCCTGGGAGTTGGCGCCCCAGGCTAAAAAAATCCGCCGGAAGGTACCCAAGAGAAACGAGCAATTCCCGACTGAAGCTGAAATCCACGGGGAAACCCAAGCGAAAGCCAAGGGAAACCAAGTTTTTTCTGGAAAATGACCTAGTGCGGTGGGTGGGTGGGTGGGTGGGTGGGTGGGTGGGTGGATGGGTGGGTGGGTGGGTGGGTGGGTGGGTGGGTGGGTGGGTGGGTGGGTGGGTGGGTGGGTGGGTGGGTGGGTGGGTGGGTGGGTGGGTGGGTGGGTGGGTTGATCCGTTTATAGTCATCTCATAACACGCTCAACGTCCTTGGTCTTCCCCTTTACTTGCCAACATGGCTGTGGCTCAGAAGCTGGGCAAGCCCAAAATTTGCGTAACCTTGCAGGGTCTTTCATTTTGAGCCACACCCACAGGGGCATTGCACCTTCGAAATTCACGCAGTTTGAGGTTTGGACGCGGCCTGCGCGCTTCAAAGAGGGCCTCACCATTGTGCCGCTCCTGTCTTGGTACCATCAGGACATGGCAAGTTGCAAGACCAAGGTCTTGGTTTGAGATCTGGGAATAATACGTGTTTTTGGCGCTTGGATCATCCCCCCAATATGGTTTTGGTTTTGGGGGGATGGTCCAACTGGTTTTGGTTTGGGATACGCTCCCTGTCATTTGGGCGTTCTTTTTCATGATCATTCACAGAGAAACAAGGTCTTGTCGGCGCAGTTCTCTTTTTTGTTTGTCTCACCGGGGCAATCAGTTTTTCCCCAACAACTGAAAGCTATGAGGTCTTTGCCCAGATAGGCTCTTGGTTTGCAGCCTTCAGGGAGGCTTCAAAATAGGAGATTCGGTTTTTCGGGGGTTTCCGAGGCTGGGATACCAAAAGGCGCTTATCTTTTGGTGGAAGCCACCGGGAGTTGTGACCTTGACAAAACTCACAATAACTCCTTGCATGCAGGAGTTCGACGTGGAGCAGGGGACCTGAGCCGGGCGAGCTGGAGGTTTCTGGATTATTGATTAAAACAAATTAAAGTTGGTACCCCATTTCTTGCTGGTTTTAAAGAGAAACCAACACGAAAACACTAATTTTGGGGGTTGCCCAAAAGAGACATATGTGAGATTGTCTGATACCCAACCACCTGAACTGTGGTTGATGGTTTGTCCAAACCTCCACTTTCTCCAGCAGTGAAACTCATTTGGATGTGTGTGTGTTTGGGGGACCCAGCTTTTGGTTGGTGGAAAAAAGGAAGCCAGAAGGAAGCCCACGTATCCCCAGAATGTGAAGGGGCATATGCCCAGAACCTGAAAAGGTCATAGAGCAGACGCTCGACCACTGTTGCTGACCACGAGTTCCCTAAGAGCCTAAGAGGGTGAGCAAAACGAAACCCTCCATTTTTGTTGGGTGCCGGTATGTTGAGAGAACCCCCCGGTCACGTTTTTCAGGGTTCCGTCCGCAAGGCCGGACCTGCCGCCAGAGCTTTGGCCTAGCCGGCGCCACAGCCAGCGCATGGCGTCCCTTGGCAGATTGAGCTCCGAGAGAAGCCAGAAGCTTCCATTTGCTTAAGAATATGTTTCCCCCTGTTGGTTTTAAAGCGAATCTATCAAGACTGGAAATATGTGTATTATTTTGTTTTTCCAGGGGTCTTAACCAAATGGAAGGAAGTGGTTTGGGTTTCCAGGGTTTGACCTTTGTCAGCCTGCCCTTCTTATTATGGTGGCTTGGATTGGTGAGATTTGAGCCCAACCCCGGAACACCTCCAAATCACCGATTCGGCTGCAAACCACCCTTTTTGAGAGAAGCCAAACAGGATGTTGTTTGGGCAAACTCCTTTGATACCGGATTTTGGTTCGGATCTGATTGTTTTGCCTAACGCCTCACTGGAGCTTAAGCTATAAAGACTTAGCCTTAGAAGCTGACAATGGCACCTTTGGATTTGTCTTCCTTTTGAATGGGTTTGTTTCCAGGTGACCATACTGCCACCTGGCGAATTGGGGAGGACCAGGGACGGCAACCCAAGTCGCCAATGAATCCACATAAGGTAGACGTCCGGAGATTTCGCTCAGGTGGATTAGGAATCATGGTGCAATGATGCATGTATGAATGCCGTCTGCAACACGGTGTATATGGCCAGCTGTGATATCCGCAGAAAGCAGAACAACCCACCAGAACAAATAAACACTATTTGGTTCATTATACCACTCAAATTATACTTTGCGAAAGCGGGCGCGCTCTGGGATGATGTGACACCTCGGTGTTTTCAAACAGCATCGTATGATGTGTAAACACAGTGCTTGCTTCTTGCAGTTTGCAGTTTTACCCTAGAGGGAAGTTGGATTTTGGACAAACCAATGCTTTAAGAAAACATAGTCCGGATAACGTAGACGCGAATGCGTGTATATTTCTGCCTCTTGACGCATTCAGCACGAAGCTTCAACTGGGGGATCGGCAAGGCCAACAATGGAAATACCACGCCCTTTATTCAAACCCATTGTGACTACAATGTACTAAGCAGCCCAAATGCAGTGGTCCCCTACAGATCGCACGGTTACACATGCAAGAAGTTGCCACTTTGCTATGAATTCTTGCTTGGTTTGCGAAGGGCTCGCGTTTGGCAACCCATCCGACGGCAAGCACCACTGGAAGCCAACCAGGGTTCATGTAGCGTCAGCCCATGTTCTGCATGCTCATCCATTCCTAATTATTGCATGCTGTCCCTCACCTGAGCCCGACATGGTTTGTGCACGGCAATGGTTCTGCCTTCTGTTTTGGCAAGAGGCGGCTTAGTTCATCCGAGCAAACGGTAGTCATTGTCACGCTTTGAAAAAGGAGTGACTCCAAAAAAGACAAAAGCCTCCAAGTGACCCATTTTGCCATCTCTGCCCAAAGCTTTCAGCCTGGTGGAATGAACAGATTCAACTCAGCAACCTTTGAATTGCCCAAATCGATTTCGTGGTTCCGCTCGAAATGGGGGGCCTCAGACAAGGACATGGTTCCAAGTCTTTTGCAGCGTAAGATCTGTAAGCTGCCAGATGGATTTGGGGTGCAAACCTATTAGGGTGCCAGCAGCCGTTTTTTTTTTGCCTTTCCCCCCCCCCCCTCCGATTTTCCACTAGGAAGCCAAAACGAGGATGGATATTTGAAAAGGTTGGTACTTTCCTACACATTAGCATGAGTTACCCAAAACACCACCCATTTATTGAGGAAACTCCTGGAAATGGACCCCCCCGTTTGAGTAGAGTATGTTGTTCCCATGGGTGTCCTTTTTAGGCCAGTTTGGATAGAAATAGATGGTTCCACTGGTTTAGATTGCCTTTATCCCTATTTACCAGGGAAACCTGTCTATTTATCCAACTCACCTATGAACCTCCCAAATGGCTGGTGTCCCTTTGGATTCCTATTCAAACCAACCCTTTGTTGGACCCTAACAAGGGACAGACCCGCCTGGCCGCCCTTTCGGTTCAACTTTCCCAGACCCACCTTATACCCTCGTCATACTGTGGCTGGACGAAATCCATTTCGCACCACTTTGAAACTACAAGAAGTTGTTGTTTGTTGTTGGTATTTACAGGGGAATCGAATCATTCCAGTGTTTCTTAGGGGCGAAATCATAGGTGTCCTTTTTGGTTGTTTTGCTAGAAAAATAGATGCTGGTGGTTTAATCATCTACCAGGGCCACTCTCTTCTCACAGATTCGCTTTCCTGTGGCCAATTAACCCTTCAGAAGCTACCGAAAGGAACGGGAGGCAGGATGAAAGTAATTGGCCACCCATTCTCTCCTCTCTATCGTTGACGGAGAGAATCCTAAAGGCAACAAATCATCCTGGAAATCAAGGGGGAGCAGAAAGTTGTCTCTAGGAGAATGCATTTGGCCACCTATTTACATCTCCCTCTATTCCTTTCTCCATCTTATCACGCCTTTTCTAATCTTAGGAATTACATGGGTGAAAAGGCATGAGGAGAAAGGAAGCCACCTATTCCTTCTATTTCCCCTAAAAGGACACCTATGCGCGAAGTAGATTTCGCAACCATCCGCAGTCAGGCTGGGGGATGAGATGGAATGCCGCTGGCCTATGGCGCCGGCCAACCGCCCAGATCGCGGCTGACAGCTGACTGGACAGCTCCAGGAAGCATGTTGCTTGGATAGGATTTTAACTTTTTGCCAACTAATGGGTTTTCCATAAACTACTAAATGTTAAACTTTTAGCAGGCAACCGAGTTAAGTTGGTTGCGTCAATGTGCTAAAACTGTTTAGTTGCTAAAAATGGAGCCAATATGTGTGATCTAAATTGTAGATATGGTTTGTTAATCATGATTGAATAATACAATTTACGATGCTTGTCTAGGTAATATTCAATAATTATATATACAAGTCAATTTAACTGTGTTCTGTTGCACTAAGAATTTATTAGTATGGTATTCTGCCAATAACAGAGTATGGAATCATTCTACCATATTCATGCATGTAGCTTCAGAACCCACACACACAATACCACATCGTCATCAACCTAATGAAGTCTGACATGTGTTATTAAACCAAAGTCTACAGTCAGGTTCCATGTGGATGCGAGGGTAGTTAGGCTGGCTTTTGAGGGCACCTTCCATTGGGAACAAATCCCTTTCTGGCCAGACTGAGATTGAATATCCAAGATAAAGTTGACTTGAGCATAGGCCTTCATTTTAAGCTATTGGTTTTATTCTATTTACCAGGGCCACTACTTTTCCCAAAGGTCACCTATGATCAGGACTCGATGCCTTGAAAGAGATTCACACGCACTCCTTCACAGAGAGGCACCCCTTCTCGAGTTTTCCGAAACAAAGGCAGTTGTTCGGAGTCGAGGTTGTCGCTGACCGAATCATATTGAACTCCCCGGCTTTGAATTGCCGGCTCCAAACGTGGATCCATCTCGTGGCTTTCTGCTAGACTGATTAGACCAAATGGAGTTTGTAGGAAGAAAGCAGGACGTCTTTGTCCTTTTCCCTGAGCCGCACTGCGAAAAGGGACATCTTTGTCCTTTTTACATTGAAATGGTTGTCTAATTTTACATGTGAGCCGCACTGCGAAGAACTCTTTGCACACCTGTTTTGCCGCTTGAGTGTGTCTGGCTGTGCATCATGTATATACATATACAATACGACTTTTGGCCTAATCTCAATGCCCTTGGTGGGATTCAGACCTCAGCGGTTCCCAAGCCACGGTCACATCAGAGTTCAACTTAAGAGAGGCTTACCCAGCATTTGTTTGAAGTTTTCGGCTCACGAGGCTCAAGATGATTTGCTGGTGATTGCACCGGAAGCTGCCTTAACTGTGAGAAATGTGTCAATGGTGGCCGTTCCATTTAGAATACTGTCACCTGCTTCCAACAGCCTTTTCCGAATTTATGGTTCAGAGTTTTGTTTATTGCAAAACTGGAGTTTATTGCAAAGCTGGAGGCTGATTCAATGCGATTCATGAATCGATTTTACTCATGCCGCCCCGGAGTGATTTGTTTCAGGGACAATGATTGTGTCAATTTGTCATCCCAAGTGGTGGCTGAGGAGAATCGCAACAGGACCCTGGCAAAGCTCTTTGACGTGCCGGTCTCAGGAGCTGGACCTTGCAGCAGCTACGGTTAGCGATGTGCAGACATCGTTACTTGAGCTCCTTTTTGATGGCCAAAGTTTGGCCTTCGCACCGCTCCATTAGTTGTTAAGCAAGACTCCTTTTGGACAAATGGCACTAGCACTACAGACTCGTATAAGTCTCTTGGCACGTGGCGCTTTGCCAGTCTGACACCTATCAGTTCAGTTCGCTGAGGCGGCCAACGACACGCCGCAAGCACAGGCTGGGCCCGGGGCCATCGGTGCAGATTGGTTGCAAGGTACGCCTCTTGACTCCTGATGGGAAATTCAGGTCTCTATAGTGGTTGGACACCCTTGTTGCAAGGAGTTCTAAAAAATCTAAAAAAACTCAAAGGGTAGTGGTTAAATAGTTAAACACACCCACAAGAATCAAGCCTTGTACTGTAGTCGTTACTAACTACTATTCTCGAGCCAGAGTCTATGATTCCCTGTCACACGGTATACAACGATACAACATGTAGAGTCTCAGTTTCCCTTTCAACAGTTATAGCCAACATGTCACATAAGCTAATTACAGACTTCCAAAGTCTGATTATTGGTGTATACCTGTATCACTATGGATTTTACGACTTGGAACCACCAAACTCAAGTGGTCGGTGGACTTGTTCATCCCCATCAAATTTGTATGTCCACCAACAATTACTTGCTGGTGCTCAGCAGGGAATGAGGGAATGACCCCTATAAATCATTATTTGTAGTATCCTTAAAGGGAATCCCCAAGTTCATTCCCTCATTCCCTACCGAGCACCAGCAAGATTACTCACGGCCATACTCCCATCCTAGACCCTTTCCGCATCGAGTTGTTTCTCGAGAACTTCCGCCAGGTGTCCTCACGGGCGACGCCGGCCCGCTGGCTGAAGCGGAGCATGGGGAGAGGGGTTGGGCGCCCTTTCTTTGTTGATCCCTGCCCTTGTCCCCTTTGTTGTTCTCTCCCTCCTCCCTCCTTTCTCTCCCCTCCCATGGTGCGTTGCCTTGGACATTTGGTCACCTGCAGCGTCATCTCTGCATATAGTGCGCTGGTAGCTGTCAGGACAAGCAGCGAAAACCGAAGCCATTTTGGGGGTCCCCCCCATTTTGAGACAAACCCAATGATTTTCAGCGAGCCCTGCAGCCTTCGTCAAAGGTGACCTTCGAAGAAGCACGGGCAGCGCGGCGCAGGGGCGAGCAGGCGGGCATCCCGAAGTAATGATATATACATGGACCAACTCAACGAAAAGTGGCTATGACTTTCAATGGTTGGAGCACACTCAAAGCTGGACATGTCCATCACAGTCTCCTCAATCAAGATCCGTGCCCATTTTTGTGTTTTAGCCGTACGGAGTATCGCGATCTAATTTGGTGATCACAGCCCATTGCCTTGGTCTGGTTAGCTTTCAATATGCTCGCGTGAGTGTTTGCAGGGGCGCTTTGCTTCTCAATGGAATTATCAACAACAACAACAACAACAACAACAACAACAACAACAACAACAACAACAACAACAACAACAACAACAACAACAACAACAACAACAACAACAACAACAACAACAACAACAACAACAACAACAACAACAACAACAACAACAACAACAACAACAACAACAACAACAACAACAACAACAACAACAACAACAACAACAACAACAACAACAACAACAACAACAACAACAACAACAACAACAACAACAACAACAACAACAACAACAACAACAACAACAACAACAACAACAACAACAACAACAACAACAACAACAACAACAACAACAAACAACAACAACAACAACAACAACAACAACAACAACAACAACAACAACAACAACAACAACAACAACAACAACAACAACAACAACAACAACAACAACAACAACAACAACAACAACAACAACAACAACAACAACAACAACAACAACAACAACAACAACAACAACAACAACAACAACAACAACAACAACAACAACAACAACAACAACAACAACAACAACAACAACAACAACAACAACAACAACAACAACAACAACAACAACAACAACAACAAACAACAACAACAACAACAACAACAACAACAACAACAACAACAACAACAACAACAACAACAACAACAACAACAACAGCAACAGCAACAGCAACAGCAACAACAACAACAACAACAACAACAACAACAACAACAACAACAACAACAACAACAACAACACTATTATGTTTTGTCGCTGAACTGTGCTCGACAACACGCACAATAGATTGATAGTTTGTTCTTACAAGAACGTGCCAAATCTTTGAATATGTGTCGCATTGTTGTTGCAGTTTACTGTCAACATGCACAAGCATGTTCAATGCTAGTTTGTTTTTCCTGGAGAGCCTGATGTTTCCTGTGTATTGTATTTATCTAGTCGTTTGCATTTTTTGTGACATTGGAACCCCCTAGAATCAAACATCAGGGGAGCGTGCCCATCAAAGCGGTGCATGTTCTCAGTGTCTTCATGATGCAAGCATTTCACGAATGTTTGTAGGACGCCATGGGTTGTGACGATATGGCTATGGGTCAAAACCAATGGTGCCACTTTGGTAGGTGCACCACCCATTTTAGTCTATATTACAATCCCACGACTCAATCAGCAAACGCTGGTCCGTTACACAAAACACAAAGCTACCAAATCAGATGCCCAACCCAATTGCCAGTGCATGGCCAAACGACCCAAGCAGCTTCTACAAAAACTCCACTGCAACAACTCGAAGCCATTTTTACAGTCATACCTACATACGCTGAAGTTCTTGGGGGAAAAATAGAGAACAATTATCGCCCCACTTGTCTGTTGAGTTGGCAGTGCTGATTTTTTTGGTTTTGTCAGTTTATGTTCATCGATTAAGTCAGGCCCGAAGCGATTTTTTTATCCTGTTGGCCAGTCGATTCAGTTGATCAGCAGTTCTTCCGTTTAGTTCCTTGCTGGCATGTCGAAACATCAGGAGATATAGGAGCTGCTTACCGTTCATTTATGAATGTGTCACCATCGATGAAAGGTGGTTGCCTTTAATATGGGGAATCGAATTATTATTGCAGATTCATATTGGTAGCCTCTGGGTGTGTTTGTTGAGGCTGCTTTGGATGTTGAAATGAAACTGAGGAATCACCCACGGGGGCTGGGGGCCGCAAACGCTTGGAGACAGACAAGTGTCCCGTAGTTGAGACTAATGCTACAGGCGTGTATTCAAAACCTGGAGCCTGGGTGTGTCTTGAAAGAGGGGACCCCAAAATGGTGGCGTGTCTTTTCAATGTCCTTTTCAAACCAACCTGAAAAAGGATACTCTCAAAAACAGACACACTCTATAAAGATCTAAGGCCGCATCTATTCATTGTTATCTCCCATATTGCGTGGGATTCCACCGTTAGAGCAGATTCTATTCATTGTCATCTCCAATATTGCGTGGGATTCCACCGTGAGAGCAGATGGTGCAATTTGCCTTTCTTGTTGGTAAGCAGTGGATGATGGAACCAAGATTGGGAGTTGTTCTGTCTAGCTTCGACCAAATGTAACCCAAACTTAGCAGCCATTTTTCTACTTGGGCCTAAATTCAAGTGGGGCTGGGTATTTGACGATCCACTAATCTCAGGCGGTATTCCCGACAGCAAACCGGTATTCGGAGCTGCTCCAACTCACGACCGGAGTGGTGGGCGAATCGAAGCCTTTCAGCTGGGGAATGAAGTCATCACAAGATCCCAATGAGCGTAATCATATGGCTGTGTCTTAAAAAATAGTGTTCCGAAAGAATGGTTGGTTTTCTTTTGGTCTTACTTGGAAACCAACCAAACACAAGGGGTGTCCTTCTTTGACCCATGTAGCTCCTGACTCACAACTTCACTTCGCACCTTGGATTCTTCGCATGTCTGGTTTGCACTCTGCCCGCTTCAGTCACCAGCCACGTGCCCTGCGCATGAATTCGACCCCAAGGTCATCTCCCTGTCGCACTTCCTGCCGCGCCCGGAACTACTGCCGGAGAAGCGGAAGCCTGAGGGTATGGAAACGCCTGGACGGCGAGTTCGCATGTGGTTGGGGTACCCAACATTGGGTGTTTCAGTTTTTGAAGTTGGCACGCCTTCTGGTGGTTTAAAGGGAAACCAAGGGGAAAGGACCCCAAAATGGGGGTACCCCTAGCTTGAGACAAAGCATGGGAACGCCCTTTTGGTTTCCCTTCAAGGGCACACAAACACGTACCCAGCCCCAGAAACGGAATCCGGCAGGTGGATTCCTATTGGCTTCCTTTTGAAATGCCTGCTTAGGGGTTGGGGACGGTCATGGACCCTTTAGAGATGTTAGAAGGTTCCTAAGGGAGCTATGGAGACGTGACCCATAAGAGTTTTCACCATGGCTATGTTGACCTTTGGACTGATTTCGGAAGCCTCAAAAAGAGCTTGCCAGGAACGTCCAAAATGCGCCCAGTAGCCGCGAAAGGTGACGTGAGTTTTGGGCATCATCTACTTACACACTTGTGTTGGCGGATAGTCAGTTCAAGGGATGCCAACTGGAAACCGCCCATTGAAAAGATCCCCGCATGCGACAAACCCATCAGACCCCCACTTCATTGTCATTTGTATGCCAATGTGTACCGATGGCAACTCTCCAAGTGTCCACTGCATCGCTTCTTCGACGTCAAGCAACCGCTCTTTTTCCACTTGGTGGGTTCACCGCTACACATGAACAACTCTTGGTTGTTGTTGGGACACATTTTGCATCTTTGCTTGTTGTGGTTTAGTGGGAATCCCCACTTAACCGCTAAAACTGATTTTTTTGCGCCCCTTTCAACGTCAACCAAGAACTCCTGCAAGAAGGATACCGCTTTTTCCTTTTCCATTCGGGCTCGCTGAGAATATGATTCTGGCGTACCCTGGGGTTGGGGCCGGGTAACCTCCAACTGGTGGGGGATATGAACCACTGGTGTTGGTAGAAATGGGAACCCATCTCTAAACCACCAATCCAGCCACCCAGCCACCCAGCCAGCCAGCCAGCCACCCACCCACCGGTTTCAGGCGCTTCCTCTTCTTCCCTCAGCTGGCCGCCTTCGCGGGGTCTCAGTTCCTACAGCGCCGGGTGCAACGCCTCAACCCCCAGCACGGGCGCCCGAGTCGCGGGCGCTCGGGCGCCCGAGGCCCTCGCCGTGGCTGGTCTCCAAAAATCGCCAAGTGGCTCCTCCGGGTGTCCTTGTTGGTTGTTAAAGAAAATGGCTCCTCCGGGTGTCCTCTTTTTTGCTAAAACTAAAAAAGAAAACATTGGGATTTCTGGTGTCCGTTGAGTTGTGTTTGGGTGTCTTTTTTTATTGTCGCAAATGGATGGGGATTCCTGGCCTGGGGCCAGGACCTGGTTGTTTCCAGGCTCATCCAAAAGTGCGTCCACTAACTAGTGGCCCTGGGTTGCCTGAAAGGGACACTCAATCGCAAAAGCCAGACATCAATCTGGAACGTTACTCGCCCATTTTTAGGCGAAGCCAATTGAAATTGAGCAACTGTCCATTTTGACCGTCGTCCACTGTGGTCAACGGGATGAGAGTTATGGAGCACGGCCACCAAGTTTTAGTAGCTTCCCACTTCATCGCGTCTAGACAGAGAGACAACAGAGACAGAGACAGACAGCAGAGACACAACCACACACGACACAGAGACACACGGAGGCATGAGAGAGACACACACGCAGACACACAGACATACACACACACACACAGACAGAGACACACAGAGACATGAGAGCGACATACAGGCAGACACACAGAGACTTACAGACACGGACACACACGGACAATACGTACTTTTTTTCTTTCTTTTTGAACGGGGAACGTCCAGGCTGCACCTCTTTGGGCACACCCACTTCGCCTGGGACCAAGCCCTGGAGGCGTGCCGGAAGGGAAGAAGCTCCTGAACAAAAGTGGGCATTTCAGCTTCCATTCAATCGGTGGTTTGGAGGTGTTCCGGAGGTGGCTTCTCCTCCACCAAGGCTTAATTCCTCAGCCAAAAGTTATTTGAACATTGGACGCATTTGGATGGCCTCAGAGGGTGGCGGTCATAAAACAACATCCTGTTCACTTCTATGATTGAACAGATTCTGCATTTCTGACGGTTTTGGCTTCCTGCCTTTTCCACAAGGCTTTGCAACTGCAGTGAGCCACAAAGACCTGGGCTTGGGGCTTTGATTGCAACCATCCACGAGAGGATGGTGTTGAAAAAACAAACAAACAACAACATGCTTGGTGTTGCCTTTCGGCAATCCAGAAGTGGTGAGCCCAGGTTGTCGCTATTTGCGACCCCGTGGTTGGCCTGAGTGTCGCCGGTGATTCCCTTAAGTGGCTCTCTGACATCCAGTTTGTCAGAGGCGCTCAAAAACATGGACACCCGTCCGGCCGGTGCGGGAAATCCAAAGGCAGCTAACCATATCCCGGGATCCCCGTAACCGACCCCTGATATCCCAATGTAACCCGTTTCTCTGCCTTCAACATGCTTAAGAAGGGGAAGGGGTCAAATCGGATTCCAGCGAGGGCCATTTTGAGAATCGGCCTCATATCGGAATATCGCCCTGCACTCTTTGAATGAAGCTCCCGGTCAGCAATCGCGAGTGGGGAGGACAGAGGATTTAACGTGGTTATTGCATTTGCCACGCTTGGCTCTTCAAATCGAGGGGTACTCTGACGATCTTGGAGACTAGCTGACAGCCACCAGCAAAAATATCCATTGTTTTCCAATCAAATGTTTTTAGATTGTAGATGGTTATTGAATGTTATGCCAGACGCCCGTCTCAATTTGTCCTTGCAATCTGGCAGCTTCAAAAAAGACAATCCCATGCACCAACAGCTCTAAAACATTTGAACGTGGCCTTTTATTTGGGAAATTGTCGAGAATACCACACCATGATTTCTCCCTTGTGTAGGGGTTGTTTCTTGTATTTTGTTTTCTTCAACAAGACTATTGTAGTTAAACACACAGCACAACTGGGTTTGTGGTTTGTTCCGATAAATAAGGCCAACCATGTATGGTTGCATCTTCTTCTAGCCCCCCCCCAAAAAAAACAACAACAACAACAAAAACAAAACAAAAACACAATACGTGAAAAGGACAGATATTTGTTTCCTTTTAGTTTACCGCTAAACCCGTACCAACTCCAAACAAGACACACGTTTTCCCCCGTGTTTTTACCCCCCTCCCCCCCTCGTTCGCTCGCCAGGGGGTGCGCTACGTCCAGGCACCTCTGGGCTCCCCCCGGGAGCGCCTGGCGCGGCCGCGGTCCATGCGCCTCTCCGGCGGGGCGGGGACCTCCAGCGAGAGAGCGCCGCGGGGAGATGGGCTTTTCTGGTATGGTTTAGGCCCGGGGGTGGGCATAGGTGACCTTTTGGACAAGTAGTTTGTTCTTGTTTTCTTATGGGGAATGGATGGGTTTCATCAGCGGACCCATGTAAAGCAGCGGACCCCATGTATTGCTGACGAAACCAGCCTGATCTTGCTGGTGCTCAGGAGGGGAGGGTACGTAATGCTGACCCCAGATTAATCAACCCCAGTTTATTACTGGGGGGTCAACCTGGTTGAAATGTGGGGAATCAGACGGGGGCCAGCCCCCCAGTAGTAAATTGGGGTTGAGGAATATGGGGTCAACATTAGATGGAAGAAACTTGCTGGTGCGATAGTCAGGGAATGACCCTTATGGGTTCCGTTAAAGGAATGCCTGGGTTCATTCCCACATTCCCTACTGAGCACCAGCATTGAAAGAACCAAATCAGGGACCGCCAAGATTCGCCCGAGAGTGCAAATTTGGGCCAGGCTTTAGTCCCTTGCGCATCGAGCTTATGAATCCTTGGGACCCGAGAAAACCACCAGGCCTGAAATTTCAAGTCATAAAACTGCTCTGCCCACCTCCCGCTCCCCAAACACGCTTCCAGTTTTTGGTCCAGGTGGGAGGGGGGGAGTTGAGGTGTTGTGTTTGGGGGGCGGGGGGGGGTGAGTCTCCCAAACATTGTTTGACACAACGAGTTGGAGGGCGTTATTTTTGGGTGGCTTCAAGGCCGTTTGTTTCTTCAAGGGAGGTTTTTTTCAGGAGTAGTTGTGTTCTTTTGTTTGCTTTTCTCCCGGGGTGGCTATTGGCAACATGCTATGGCACGCGCAAAAAAAAAAAAAACACGCTAAACCAACAACCCTAAGCCCACCGTAAACTGCTAAAGCCACCCTCAACCAGCGCTTAACCATCCCTAAACCTACCCTCAACCTACCCTACACAAGCCCTAAACCAACCCAATAGCACGCGCAACAAACCCTAAACCCAAACCCTAAGCCAACAAATGCGGCTGCGTCCACATTATCGCTTCGCGTCAATTTGTCGAGTGTGACGAGGATGCGGCGGGGATTGTCGGAGATAGAGTTTTGTTGATTCCTACCCCCCCAACTACACCCACCCCCCCAAACTACACCTACCCCCCCAAACTACACCTACCCCCCCCCAACTACACCTACCCCCCCAACTGCACCTACCCCCCCCAACTACACCCTCCCCAACTACACCTACCCCCCCAACTACACCTACCCCCCAACTACACCTACCCCCCCAACTACACCTACCCCCCCAACTACCCCTACCCCCCCAACTACACTCACAACACCTACCCCCCCAACTGCACCTACCCCCCCAACTACACCTACCCCCCAACTACAACTATTCCCCCAACTACACCCACCCACCCCAACCACACCGACCCCCCCAACCACACCTACCCCCCCAACTACACCAACCCCCCCAACTACACCTACCCCCCCAACTGCAGCTACCCCCCCCCCCCCAACTACACCTACCCCCCCAACTACACCTACCCCCCCCAACTACACCTACCCCCCCAACTACACCTTCCCCCCCCAACTACACCTACCACCCCCCCCCCCAACTACCCCTACCCCCCCACCACACACACCCCCACACACACACACACCCACACACACACCCACACACACACACACACACACACACACACCCACACACACACACACACACCCACACACACCCACACACACCCACACACACCCCACACCCCCACACACCTCCACACACCCCCACACACACCCACACACCCCCACACACACACCCACACCCCCACACACCACCCCCACACACCCCCACACACCCCCACCCACACACACACCCACACACCCCCACACACACCCACACACACCCACACACACACCCACACCCCCACACACCCCCACACACACCCACACACACCCACACACACACCCACACACCCCCACACCCCCCACACCCCCCCCCACACGCCCCCCCCCACACTCCCCACATGCCCCTCCAGGCCGTAACCGGTTACGGCCTTGAAGAATAGCTTGTTTTGCACGAGTTTGCATGATTTTGGGCATGGCATTTTTGTAATCAAACCGCATCGGCTTCCACCTCTTGCGTCCTCCTTGTCGGTGATTGCGGTGACTGCGTTTCCGTCCACGCTGCCGGCTGTATCCCTCCTACTGGCTGGACTGTCCTCGTTACTTTCTCGCCTGGGCGCCACCTTCGGGTATACTGGTCCCATTATGCTACGCTGCCGCATGGCAGCTTCCTTGAGGAGTTACAGAAGAGGCGCGTGCCCACTCTGCGCCGGCAGGACTCTCCGTCTTCTCCTTTCTGATGGGCCTTGGCTATGTTCATAGGGGGGCCATCATATGGCAGCTCGGAGACTGCGTTACACATTACGACTGTCTTGCAGCCATTGCTCGTGCGTTGGGGACGCGGACCCTGCTGCCGCCACAGCATAAGTATCAGTTCCGACACGCCGGATATGTGACAATTGCTTCACTCCGCACAAGGATAGGTTTAGTCTGCAAGAAAAGCTCCTCTCCAACCATAGGACGTGACTTGCACTATTACCACATTGCGGCTTTTTCCGCACATGCTACCGCTGCTGCCTGTGTCCTCCTTGCTCTCCCCTCCGCCTCTGGGTGGCTGCCGGCCATCTGGTATATGCGGGCTGCCCCGGCCCACGTCATGACCGAACGCCTGTCGTCTTCTTGTGCTCAGGAACGTGTTAGTGTTGCTCTCGTGCGCAATCTCGTTCCCTCCATCGCCTTCGCTGGCCGTGATCTTGGGGCCGTGACGAGAGTTCCCTTTCAGGACCATGACTGGCGGTGGCTGCCTCGACAGACCAAAGCCATCCCATTGAGCAACCTTATGCAGGCTATGCGTCAGGCCTGGCAGACTCTCTATGTGGGCCAGTCCCAATCTCGCTCTTTCTTTCGAGTGCGCAGCCTAAACTGCTTTTCCTACCTTTGTGATCTCCCAGTTGACTTCACTGTGGATGAATTTAGGGCTGCGTATCATGGTCTCGACCTCTTTCAATATGACTCCGACTCATGGGCCAGGCTCGGGGCTCATGCTATCCAACGGCGGCTTGCCGTATATACTCAGGCATGTCCCTCCAACCTCCACGTGTGTACGTGGAATGTCACTAGCCTGGCCGCCCTCCCAATCATCATGATAAACTTGCGCATGTACGTGTGGGGCGGGTTAAAGGCTTCACTCCGCTTCAGGAAACCAACTGGACGGAGGCCCAGCCAGCAACCTTGACCACTGCCCATCCCCACATCAACATTGCGGCTAGAAATGTCCCGGCCGGCCAAGCGGGTAGCGGTGGTGTGTGCATTTTACCGCCCCTTGGGTGGGTCCAGATCGAGCGCATGGAAGTCATTCCTGGCTTCCTGCAGGATGCACTCTATGAAAAACACGGGGCCCATCTGCGGGTGGTTAATGTGTACGTCCATCCCGCGAGAACCAAAGAGATCGGTGCACGTTTGATCTCGCACCTCGCACTCCTTTCCGACACGTGCATTGTTCTTGGGGGTGATTTCAATCAGTTGCCAGGCACTCCAGCCTGGAGAGAACTCGTTGGCCATTTCTCATTTGTCTCGCCTAAGATCGTCACTTATTTGAGTAACGGGGTGGGCTCGGCTTTGGACTACCTTCTCTTTCGACATCCTATGTTAGACAATGAGAGTGCTAGCGTTGCTTGCCACGTGCGCTGGCCTGCCACCCGGCCGAGCCAGCACGGTGCGCTATGGGGAGCCCTCCGTGTCGCCTCAAGCATTGCGTCCTCCCCTGTCCCCGATGCAAGCTGTGCCTACCGAGTGTCTCATTCATCGTCTTGGTGGCGCTGTGCAAGATGAGCAGTGCTCCAAACTCGTCCGGCGAGTTCAGTCGTCCTCCTGCCTTGCTGACTTCAAGGCCGCGGTGTGGACGTGGTGGCGGGAACAGCCGCCGCCTCGCCAGATGTTGCCCGGTCGCGCCCTGAGACGAACCGCCGGGGGGCCGGTGCACATACCCTTTCAGACCATGCAAAGCCTTTGTGCCGTTGTTGCTCTGCCCGCGGCCAGCTGTTGAGCATGCGGAGCGGGCGCCGTGCCGTGATGCTGCAGCCGATGATCTTGAAGTTGGAGTGTGTCTCAGAGGCTTGCAATTTTTTACATGGCTGATTGGCCGGGCGCGCTGAAGTTTTGAGTTGAAAGGTACTTTTTGCTGTTTCTGAGGCGGTTTTGGATGGATGGATGGGTGGGTGGGGTGGGGTGGATGGATGGATGGTTGGATGGATGGATGGATGATTAGGATGGATGGGATGGATGGGATGGATGATGGATGGGATGGATGGGATGGATGGGATGGATGGGACGGATGGGATTGTCGGAGATAGAGTTTGGTGGGTTAGCGCTGCCAAGTGATTTGCCAGGAGCGAGAACTTGTTGGTGGCCGGCCTATGAGGTCACGGGATTAGGAGACAATGGTGAGGTGAGCCCCGCCCGCGAAGGGCAAGTCGCGAGTGTTCGCGCAACGTTGTGAGTTGGTTTTAACGCAGCTCCAGCTGTGGAAGCCATGGCCTCTAAAGCAGTTCCATTGCAGCACGGATGCGGCTAGGCTGGACAAGGAAATCGCGCAAACGAAAAAAAACGAAACACGCAACCGCACGCAAACGCACACACACACACACACAATACTCCCTCTGTTCTCTTCAACCTCTGCTCCCTGGGGATTTCTGGATGCCCTGTTGGAGGGTGGCCAACTGTACGGCGCAGCGAAGAAGCTGCAGCTGTCAAGTTCGGCAAAATTCAGGCAGTCTGCAGGCTCGTGCTGACCTCAGCACCGGAATGTTTGGACGGGGAGGGATTCATGGACGAATCAGGTGACGCACATGTTTTTGCGACGCTTCCAGCTTCGCCAAGGCCCAAGCGGCACTACATGAAAGAGCTTGAGGCGCAGAAAAAGGCGGCCAACAAGGGAAGGCCAGGGCCCTCGTCAGGGTTCCAAATTATGATCGACATCTGGCCTCGGCGTCAAAAGTGAGCTGACCCGCGGAGGCTGAGCTTGGCAAGTTTGCTGCATGACGCTGACAAGCAGGCTGATGAGTTCGGGCGCTGCTACCCCGTGAAAAACAACAACAGTTCACTTCCGAGCAGCGCAAGAAGCGACTTAGCGCAGCTTTGTTTCGCTTTGACAACTCTGAAGAGGGCGGGGCTATTGCAGCATGTCTTCTAAGGACAGTACCCCGGCTGCTTTTTATGGCTGGAATCCGATTACGAATCAGGCGGCACTAAGATGAGCGGCATTAAGATCGTGCCAAACTTCCTGTGCGCGGAGAACCTGCCACAAAGTTCTCACGTTCAACCGTTGGTTCAAATCCGTGCTGACACAGAACGTTTGGCCTCAGCGTCTTTCCGTTTCGCCCAGCCGAAATGGCACCAACAGCCAGGGTCTTGTTGCAGTTCACCGTCTTTTGGTGGCAAAAACACAGCCGCAAAAGCGAACAAGGCCGCGAAAGCGCACAAATGATGACTAGTTTTCCCGCGCGCGCTAAAAACACCCTCTGAAACCTTGCGGGCCCCCAAACCTCAGGTTTCAAATTGGCTTGGCCGAGCCTGAGCCTACACTCAGCCAACTTTGAACCCACCCTAAACCAGCCTCTCAAAATCACCGTTAGCTCAACCCTAAGCCTTATGACTGACCCAACCCAAAGCCGTCATCCCCAGGCCCACCCTGGACCTGCCTACGCAAACCTAAAGCCAACCCCAAACATTTGACAATCCTAAGCCCATCCTGAATTCCACTTAAAACAAACCCAAAACCTAGATTTAAAACGAAGCTTAAACCAAGAGTCCCGCATCCATGTGGGGAACGCGAAGCATGCAACATCTTGTTCAACGTTGAAGCAATACGTGCTAGCACCTAACCTTTTGGTTCACGACATGGGCCACCCCCTTTCGCAAGGTGTACTGATCGACTACCCAAAAAAGGGGTCGTTTTGGACAGTGTTTGCCCAGTGAACATTGTATGTGTCCTTCATGGTACCCGTATGTTTCTTTGCGACCAGCATTTTAAGTTTCACCTGCTTGGGCTTCCGGTTTGATTCGGGTTGCCTTGACCCAGCTTCGCATTCGGGTCTTGCGCTCAGATTCCAGCGCTTCTTTGGCGCCCTGGCTGATGGGACGGAAAGGGAAGTGGTTTCGAGTGGTTCCTGTGTTGTCCTCAGTTCACTTCTGTTCTACCTGTTTTCATTGGCCTTTAGCACAAATCATGGGGGGTCATTTGGCCTGTGCCTGCTGAGATGCACCCCTGGTTCGTGCGTTGGCTCAAGAGATTCCCTCACGGCCAGGCAGGGACTAGGCATAGCCCAGAATGAGGCCCCTTTTTTTTCTTCGAAAGGACCTAGGGGTATGTTGTGCCTCAAAAGCATATCTGCCAATCAAACAAAAGCATCCCCGCACCAGGACTACTTTCGCGAGCCCAGGGGTTCCAAACACATCCCAACCCTCGAACTCCAGTAGCTTTGCCTGAACCAGCTGCAGGACTCAAGACCAAAAGACCAAAGCTGTTTGGTGGTCTTGTCATTTTGAGAGTACGCCCCATCGGTTGCGGGAATCAACGGCCTCGTTGGCAAATTACCACTCCAAACCACAGAGCAGACAACTGCATGGGTTTTGCTCTTCCGGCCCCAAGTAACGTTTCCCCAAAAGAAGATGAAGCTGTCGAAGGCTAGCCATCCGATCCGACGCCACTTGCTACCAATCAGATAGCGACCTGCGCGCGTTCAGTTTGGGATCTTCCAGTTTCATGTAAGCCTTGTTGTTTTTCTAGGATGGATCGACAGCTTCTACACGCATTCATGGCTAGCTTGACCGGTTATCATCAAGCTATCGTCACTTGCGTCCGAATTGGAATTCGCATGATGAGTGGAAGAAACATGAACTGCAGGACCCAAGAATGAGGGGTTGACAAATTCGGAATCGTGTTGGAAGCCCCTTAAACACACAGTGCCATATATGTTTCATATTTTTACAAACCCCGGAATCT